TTCCCTACACGATGCCATCAATTTGAGAGTATAATTGGTTGTTAAACAAACAAATAATCTTCCACATTTATATATGTGTGTGTGGTTGCCTGCTGTCCTGAGAACGGATTTACTAAACTCTCGTAAACGCTGTCTCTCGTAACACTTGCGAGAAATATCAACGATTCTTAACTAGCGAGACAGATTGCGATTACGAAGATCTCACAGCGTTGACCCGACAAACGACCCCTTCTGCCATCACTTTGCCCTCTTAACTACCGTCCGAGATCGTTCGCCTGGAATTCCGTGACAGCCTCAGGCACAAGGCAGGCAAGGCAAGATCGGAGGAATCTTGGCGACAGCGGAGGTCGGGGAGGCAGACCGGAGACGTGAACGAGCGTGAACGGAGGAGAGGCAGGTCGGAAAGCCAGAGGACGGAGGAAGGCGGCAGAGCAGACGAATGGATCGGCAGCCCCCTTTTAACCCTCATCTAAGTTAAGTTCTGCAGTACTATGTACCTGTGTGGTATTACCTAATGAAGGGGAATATTTCTTCAATCCTGTGTGGATTTTTATAACGATCCTTCGAAGCAATACCTGCCTTTTTTACAAACATCAAAATATATATATATATATATATATATATATATATATATATATATATATATATATATATATATATATATGATCAAGTAGATTTTCCCATAAGACCTTAAATTTTCCCACGCTACCATTCCATCAATGTAAAAAGGGCATATAAACAGGTCTTAACCCCGTCAACGAGCGCCTTCGGCTCGTTGCGCATTGTATCGACGGTTCAGATCGTTGCAACATATCGACCCATTTATAAACGCCAAACGACGAGAGCGCAGGGGTCTCGTATCCGTTACGACTGTATCGCATTTCCTATCGATAGGCATCGTAGGCTTTATTTCCTAATAGAACGGCTCGAGCGACCAATCAGCGTTAGCTCGGAAAAAATCAACCAATCAATCTTTATCATTATTTTTCGTTACTTATCGGTTCTATCTAGTCCCTTTTGTTTGCCTTTACAAGTATGTATTATATTAATCAACCTTTGAAATCTCCGTATATAAGTGAATTAGATTTTCACTATATTTCCAGGTCATCGATCTTTTTAACTTCACAGCATATTTCCATTAGCTTTCCTTTGGCTTTACAATAATTATCACTGGCGAGGAACTCATTAAAACATTAATAAAAGTTCATATCTGGAGAACATGAATTTGATATCAAATCAGTAAAATAGTAAATGGTTGAACCAGGAAGGGAGGGATTCAGCATCAAGAAATATATAAAACTAGAAAGTATTTAAAAAACACAAAATTAAAAGAATAGTAGTAATAAATATTTATATATAATATAACCGATGGCTCCGGGATTTCCTAATAATGATTCTGCGACCCCCCCCCCCTGACTAGCAAAAAACGGTTAGTAATAGCATGAAGAGCAAAACAACACGATTATATAAATGCAAGTAAAACAGCGCGATCACCTCTGGTAACGGAAATATCGAAGGAAGAAAATACGATCTTATTTTTTTTCTAACCACAAACATCAACAATAGCTCGTGCGTGCGTGTAGATACATTAGTATTTCGTCTTTATATATACATCAGTGATACACTATTCATATTTCGAACATTTGTACGTTAACCCATTCGCGCCGGGTAAAAATGAACAAAAAATGGGGAAAATGCTGTGCTCATTTTTTATATCTTTTAATGAAATGTCTCTACACTAGATGGCTCTGCCTTACCTGATTTCATTTGGCGGGAATATGTATTTTTACTAGTGCTATGAATATCGATGGTTATTTTTATTATAAACATTATAATTACTATAATGTTATAAACATTAGTAACAGCAAAATAAGATAGCGTAAGATATTGTCGTAAATTAAAGAAAAGGGTAAACAGACGACACAGGCAGTACAAGTACAAGTGTAGCCATCTATGTTTGAAAACAATTAAACAAGTAAACTCACAGTGGGCCCGTCACGTATACGTGACACCCGGCGTGAATGGGTTAAGATTCCTTATTATATACATTTCATCTATATATTTTTGAGTTTCTTATTGCAACGTTAATTTTTTATATACCCACATGGCGTGTTTGCCAGGGGGCGTGGCCATACGGCCTGGCGGCCTATTTGAC